CGTCACGTTACGCGGCGGTCGCACTTGAACATTACTTAACCTATGACATACGCTTTTCATATGCAAAAATATTCATAAAAATATTCACTCGATAGACATAAAATTCATATTATAGTTCTTTCTTTAACCTTTATTGTACACACTATAAGATGAAAACAAATTTTAGATATTTAAATAAAATTTTGGGGATGAAGAAGCTTGCGTCCGTAGGAATTACTTTAATACTGGATGACCTTTTTTACCGCCTGGAAAAAATAGGGTGTAACCTGTGAACGGAGTTAATACATATAGCACTGACATTTTACAAAAAATAAAAACAAACCAATTGAGTTAAATAAATAGACTAATTAAAATTTATAGAAATTCAAATCATACCTTTTGCCTTGAATTCTTTCAAAGCCCTACGAAGGCCTTGTAATATAGACTGGTGTATTTTTGATTCCTTTCAACCATATAAGACAAGCGGGGAGGACGGAATAATTCCCATCTAACTACAGAGGGATATCGACATCCTACTTCCCTACCTGATGAAAATCTTCAGAGCAACTTTTTTGTGGGGATATATTCCAGATCGATGAACAACTGTCAAGGTTCTATTCATACCTAAGGCTGGTAGAAAACTACTTTACGAAAGTTCTTTAGACCTCTAAGACAATCTTCCTTTCTTCTTAAAACGTTGGAAAAACTTATAGATAAATATAATTGTTCGGGAGTTTACGGGAATTTTAAAATAATGCAAATTGAATGTGGTCTTGGACGATTGTATTGATCTTACAACAGCTGAGAGGGTAATAATATATTGCAAAGACAAAAACCCTGTTTAAAATTAACGTTAAGTACGGACGTAATTACTAAAAGTACGTTATGATTTCTTATATTTACGCGAACACTATACATGATTAAAACTACTTTTACGGATTTTATCGCGTTTATTTTTACTTTTTATTTACTTTTATTTTTAATTCCCAATCCAATTAAAAATAAAAGTAAATAAAAAGTAAAAATAAACGCGATAAAATCCGTAAAAGTAGTTTTAATCATAAAAGTACGTTGTTTAACTCTTTTCTCAGAAAGAATGCGCAGGTGATCCAACATGCCCCCGGGCGTTGAAATCTTTGATTTCAAGCAGAATTAAATGACACCGGTAATGGGAAAATCCGGTTAAATGCCCTCTTGATAATCCCAGTTGAAGTTCTGATGTCTGCAACTCGAACAATGCCATCGGCTCCTGGGTGAATTGCAACGACTCTTCCCAGCTTCCATTTCAGCGGTGGAAGGTTGTCTTCCTTTACTACCACCAAATCGTTTATCTTTAAGCTATCTTTGCAAGGACGCCATTTCACTCTTTGTTGAAGTTCTGAGACGTACTCCCTGCTCCATCGTTCCCAAAAATGCCGACGCAGTTGCTCAACGCATTGGAATCTGGTTAATAACGGAGTGAAGTGATGCTGGTAGTCTGGTTGCGGTAAAGAAGTCAGCGCACGCCCAATTAAAAGATGTCCCGGAGTGAGGGGCGTACAATCTGCAGGATCTGAAGATAGTGGAGTGAGTGGCCGGGAGTTCAATATTGCTTCGATCTGGGTCAACGTGTTGTAAAGTTCTTCATACGTTAAGTGACAATTGCCCAATACTCTAAGCAAATGATATTTTGTCGATTTGATTCCCGCCTCCCAGAGACCACCGAAGTGAGGAGTATACGCCGGAATAAAATGAAAGTTAAAATTATCATTGGCCATGCTTTCGCTCAATGAATCGCAATTGCCCTTTAAACATTTGGATAAGTCATTGTATGCACCAACAAAAGAAGCACCGTTATCGGAATAATTATTAACTGGCTTACCTCTTCGAGCTATAAACCTGCGCAATGCCAGCAAATAGTTATTGCTGGTTAAGTCACCTACCAACTCTAAATGAATCGACTTGGTAGTGAAACAGACAAAAATACATTTATAAACCTTTACCAGTCGACACCCACGTCCTTGACGAGTGGCGCTCATAACAGGGCCCGCATAATCGACTCCTACGGTCTCAAAAGGAAAGCCACCCGAAAGGAGACGCTGCTGTGGCAAGTTACTCATTAGTGGATTCGAAACCTTACCCTTCATGCGATGACATCGTATACATTTATGATAACAGCCTTCGCTAGGCTTCGACCACTCGGCCAATAAGTATCTCTAATGTTTACCAACAGTAGCTGTGGGCCTGCGTGCATTAGCCTTTTTTGTTCATGGTCAAATTATATTTTCGTAAATATATGATTGGACTGTAGGAATATAGGATGCTTTAATTGTTTGAAAATTTAGAATTATCAAGACGACCACCAACACGCATAATTTTATTTTCGTCTAAAAATAAATTAAATTTAAGAAGTGGGCTTTTCTTAAGTAAATTTTGTTTATTCAGAAGCAAACTATACTCTGAAAAGGAATCATATTGACACTTTGAAATTATAATATTTAACGCTATTCGTAATTCTAATTCCGTTAAGTAATTTGAAGAAATAAGCTGTCTTTTACAAGATATAATGAATCGTAAAACGTAAGCTACGGAACGTACCAGGCGTGAATAATTCCAGAAACGACTAAAATCAATGAAACAATCATTATTTTTCGGATGAGTAGTGACTGCAGTTAATATAATATCATGACGCGTTTCCGGCAATGTTTCAACATTCTTAGGCTGAGAAGGCCATTTTGGTATGTCATACATTGGACCTGACCACCACTATCTAAGACCTGCCAGAGAACTGATATCCACAGCAAAAGATATTAAGTCTGCTGGGTTCCTCTCTGTTGGGACGTGTCCCCACTTATGGTTACTAGCCTTATCCAAAATTTCAGCGACACGATTACGCACGAAAAGCTGAAGTTTGTAAGGCAACATTCGCAACCACCCCAAAATAATCGTGGAGTCTGTCCAAAAGAAGACTTGGTCAATTTTAACACGAAAGGAATTTACAACCTTCTCATAAAGACGAGCTCCTACCAACGCACCGCACGACTCCAATCGTGGTATTGTTGTGGGTTTGATTGGGGCTACACGACTCTTAGCCGTTAATAATCGAACCATAACTTGTGTCTTATCGCTGACGCTTCGAACATAAATGCACGCACCGTATGCGCACTCAGAAGCGTCAGTGACAATATGCAGTTGCAGCACCCGGCATGACTCACAGATAACTAGTCGTGGAATACGAATGTTACTTAAAAGAGGAAGAGATTTGATAATGCCATACCAGCGTTTCTTAATTTCGGGAGACAGTGGTTCATCCCATGAAAGTTTGTCTAACCAAAGCCTTTGTATCAACATTTTCATGGTGATTACATACGGGGCTAAAAGACCCAATGGGTCGAAGATTTGTGCAATCACTGAATGCAAATCACGCTTAGTATTTCCATCGGGAACTAGTGAATTCAATGGAAAGCAGAGTTTATCTGAATCCGAATGCCAGCCAAGACCTAACAACCTGTCTGGCTCGCGAGAACCAATATTTAGGTCAAGTGATGTATTGGCAATTTCTGACAGTAACTCGGGATCGTTCGATCTCCACTTTCGCATTGGCATACGAGCAGATGCCAATACTTCGGCAACCCCTTGACGTATGGCATTTACGTCATCTAAGTCATCAGCACCCATAAGCAGATCATCGACATAAAAATCGTGCATCATGATGTCCGCTATGGCTTTATTTTTGCACTGTAGACCAAGTTGTTTCAGGCAGCGTGTTGCGAGAAATGGTGCACTTGCCGTACCGTACGTGACAGTATTTAATTGAAAGGTCTGTATATGCTCACTAGGACTGTTACGCCAGACTATCTGCTGAAGGTGCCTGTCATCAAGATGCGATTTATGCACCTGTACATTTTCTCTACATCTGCAGACAAAACGTATCTATGTTGCCTAAAACGTAATAAAATCGACGTCAAGTCGTCCTGAACTACAGAACCGACTATTTGTATTTCGTTAAACGAAATACCTGACGACGTCGGGCAACTTGCATTAAAAACTACTCTAAGTTTAGTCGTGGTGCTACTTTTACGGAGTACACCATTATGGGGTATAAAATACGCGCCATTACTTAAATTAGGTCTTTCACAAATCGTCATGTGTCCCAGTGACTGATATTCAGACATAAATTCATAATACATCTGCTTGATGTCAGGCTTACATTTTAATCTACGCTCTAAGGAGAACAAGCAATGTATAGCTCTTTTAAATGAATCTCCTAATAGACCGGTATCTTTTTGGAGAGGTAACCAACGCCAAAACCCCCATCATCAAGACGTGACGTATTTCTTACAAAATAATCCTCACACAACTTCTCCTCAGGTGAATAATGAGATGACTTGGAACTTATTTCCTCCAGCGGCCAAAACCGCGTTAAGTCGATTCGAATATCATCTTTATTATCGCCACAAAAATAAAAATCAGTCTTAGCGAAGTTGCATCGTAAGTCATTAGACATCAATGTAGAATGATGAACATTAACCCGGCATGAATGAGGTGAGAAATTGTTACATTTTATGAGGTGGGTAGGAGACACCCAAAATTTTGATGTTCCATTTTTTATACTATAATTATGTAATTAGCATTTATGCTTAAGATATATTAATAATAGTACTCATTCAGCAAGATTAGTAAAAAAAATACAAGCATTAAGTACAAAAAGCGTTATTTTTTATTGAAATTACAAAGTATCTAAATTTTCTTTAAAAAATTACAAGTTAAGGTAGTTAACTTCTTTTCGCATAAAAATCTAAAAAAAATCCCACTTCTTTAGTTAATCAACATAACAATAGAGTCTTCTAGTCATTATAAATAAAAAAGGCACTGAAAAGTCTTGTGAGATCATGTAACAGAGCACCAAAGTTACACCTACAAATCAGCACAATTTCCGCACATAAAAATCGCGTGTTCCATACATATTGGCTTCTCAAACTTTGTACAGCAATGTTTTGTTTTTCTGTCTTTTCTGAGTACACTCACCACATCTTACATATTTACCAGCCATTTGTTTTGGAAATGGTGGTGAGGGTTCCCCTAAATGATCGGCAATCCTCTTTCGTGTTTCCCTTGGAAGATGTACGTTCTGTTGCCTGTTCCAAAGACTATCATTTATTAGATTCAAACCTAAATTACGAATGTATCTCGGCGCTTCATGCGTGTTTTGTCTGTCGTGTTATTTTCTCTGTAGATTACGATACCATTTATGGCAGCCATATTGAGTATACCATAAAAAATCGTCATGGGCCAACGTTTGCTATTGCGTGAAACATCATAAGTGGCACTCAGTTCATCTGCGACATCGACTCCGGCTTTAATTTTATTATAATAAGTAATCATTTCCGGTTTTCTTTTATCCCCTGTCGATTCGTCTATATTTTAGTCATGGTGTAAAGTTGACATAATCAGCACAACTTTTTTTAGATACATAGGACACCAAAGTAATATCGTTTTGGAACCCGAATCGATAGCTATTGACTTCTGTTCCCTTTTTGAAAATCTCAGGTACACTTGTCTTGTTTTTACGGACTGTGCCAACAGAAGTTAATGAATGGTCTTTCAAGAGATGAATCATAAGTGGATAACTAGTAAACCAGTTATCGAATGTCAAGTTCCTGTTCGTTTTTGTTATTGGCTCCACTAAACGGCTCACAATGTCAAACGCTTTGTTACTCATTTGGTAAGGTCCTGGTGGTTGTTTTCCTGCGTATATTTCCAGTTTGGGAATGTAAAACTTCTCCGCATCTACAAGAGCTTGAATTTTTATCCCATATTTGGCTGGTTTGTTGGGAATGTATACGCGGAAAGGACATCGCCCTCGGAAAGATAACAACATCTCATCAATAGTAAGATTCTCGGAAGGCACATAATGTTTTTGAATATTTACAACAAAATTTTCAAAAATGTCCCTTATTGCAGCTAGATTGTCACTCTTTTTTCTTTGGTCCCGAGTGTTTTTATCATCGAATCTCAAACAATTTTGAAGGAAGTAAAACCTCTGCACTTGTGTGTGACATTGTAGTCCGAAAGATTTCAACTCCCGTACCATCTGTACGCCACAAATCGTTCACGTTTTGTCTATTTGAGCGATTTAGGCCAGCTATATACAAAAGTCCTATAAATGCCTTCAAATCCTCCAAAGTTACATCTTTCAAGTGATACTGCTCATTAGTTTTTGGATGTTTTTCCCTTTTATCCTTTATTTGAATATTTGTGCATCTTAGTACGGTATTCAACATACTGTCTGTTATAAAGAGACTCCAAGTTTCAATCTCAGTTTTAGCAAGTTTTGCAGTACCTTTTACGCCTGTAGCATTAGTAATTATATTCTCAGATCGAACTCGAACGCTTTGTCTAGGACAATCTTTTGACCATTTTGTGCCATCTTTGGATGTATAAGAAGTTCCACGACTATTAGACGCCGGCACAGATTCCGGCTCTTCCAAATTATCCAAAATACCCTCTTGTTCGGAATCACTTTCTTCACTTCTCTGAGAAACGTTATCAATTTCTTCTTCGCTCTCGAAGTCACAGGAGCTAGCACTTGAGCAGTTTTCTAATAGTCCTTGTAGCCGACGTTCATTTCCTTCATAAGACATCTTGAAAAACCTAAAAATAAATCATAAAATACTATAAATAACTATAAATCAAAAACTTACTGTCAACACAAAAATGTAACACCGACAACGAGGTCGGGTGTGACGTACCCCAGCCACGTGTACACATGTGTATCTACCGTCGCCGCCGGCGCAACACTAAACTCGATACTGTACCCCGCCCCTCGCATCCTTACCTCCAGCTACTGAAACGACAGGACTCGCATGGCAACAGTAACATTAAATAATCTGCGTTTAAAAACTTCTCGGGTATCACATACCCGACCTCACTCACGCCGGGTTAATTGGACCAGAAAATATCCACCCTAGCCTGGTTTCTTGCAGAATGGGCTTATTACTTCCTAACTTAATTCTTTGCGACCCTAACAAATTCCAAAAGAGATCAGCCCCGATTAAAATATCTACATCGGCAGGCTTATAAAATGCAGGGTCAGCTAAGCAAATATTCGATGGAAGTTGAAAATTACGTATGCTTAATTAGTTGCGTAATCGTTGAAGTTTTGTGATTGTGATTTTAGTTGGATTTTCTTTTAAAAAAAGCTGTAAGTAATGTTATTTATCTTTACTACGTAATGTTTTTGAATGATTTCATTTACAACAACAGTAACTTTTTTATGTTTCAATTGATAAAGAAGTAGAAACAAAAAACCTCTACGCGAACAATTTATAACGGTCAAGATTTCTAATAAGATACTATTAAGACAATAATAGTATATTTCTTATTGGAATACCATAGTAAATACTTTTACTAGGAATTTCTAAATGTTATATCTATATGATTGTATAAGTTTTTATATATAAAGGAAGACGCTATAAAATATATACACAAAAAAGGTTTTGAAAATGAGTTTACAAAGCGCGCGCAAACTGTCTATTGTCGAATTTTTAGCAAATGTTTGCAAGTGAAAAAGAAGAATTATTATAATTATTACATGCATAATTTCGGTTCATTTAGGGAGAATATGTTGTATTGATTGTAAGAACATAAAAATAAATACTTATGATATTTCATTCATAAAATAAAATTTATTGTCAGTAGTGTCAGTACACTTTATCAAGATCCGTTAGAAACAAAGAGCTGTACAAAATAAAATAAACTTTTAAATGTTATGGTTATTGTTTCTACTTGTCGAAAATCTTATCGGCTTCAAATAACTGTAACTAAAACCACTTTAGACATAAAGGAAAGGTCGTGAGAAATATAAATGTTTATAACAAGTGCCGCCAGCTGAGGTGACGACTGAGGCCCCGGTACAAAGCTGTTTTTTGTTACGGCGGGCGTGGTACGATTAAAGGTTAATTCGCGGCCTGGGGTATTGCTAGTAATTAATTGCAAAATGAAACAATTAATGTTAGCGGAATAATTATTATCTAACGACTTTAAATGTACACGACGCCTTCTGCTTTCGTGAATATACACGCTATTAATACCTAAAATCGACTTATCTATGTCGACAAAATCTAAATTGAATAGTTTGCGCATATTCTCAGTTATAAAACTAGATGTACTACCGCAGTCTAATACTGCGCGGGCGACGTGTTCGACGTTATTACAATCAAGTAGTTTTATCAAAGCAGTTGATAATAATACATCTCGTTGTTACTACGATGCGCTACGTTTGCCGATAAAGCGACGTTGTTCACATCAGTGCCTGCAGTTGATGTCATTGACGAGTGAGTCCCTGTCCGAGTGCCGAGTGCCCGTCTCATTCTCGAGCGAGAAATTATTTTTATTTTGTACGGTATGACTTGTTATCGGTTCAGTGACGTGAATCATTGTGTTGTGGCGGCGGGCGGTTACATATTTTACACCCCGGCTTTTTGCAATGGTTTGCAAACTTAAGCCAATTATAACAGATCTTGTAAGATGGTAATAATTTCAATCTAGCCTCATTACTGAGTGCAAGAAACTGTGGACATCTACCTAAATTGTGATCGCCGTTACATTCATAACAAACTTTGAGTTGTTTATTTGAGTTTATATTATGAATATTCGATTGTTGCACCCAAGCCATGGATTTCAATTTAGAACTCGGCCTATGCGGTGCAAAGTGAACATTAAATAAATAAATAAATATCATTTTATTGCCACTTTTAAAAAAACATGTATACATATGAACTAATTATTTAATCTTAATTTAATTTAGGCAAACGGAGGTGACTCAGCTTTTGCTTACATGGAACTAGATCCCATGAAGCGCTGGTTTTCAGGCACTCCTTCTTCCCTGAGATGTTACACGGGTGTTATGAGAATTTTGAGTTCTCCAATCACCTCTTTCATTTACTCATCTATCTGGTTGTGACATTTCATAATTATTAATTATTAATTAATAATTCTTGCATTCGTGCGTGCGTGTGTGTTTGTGTGTGTGTGTGTGTGTGTGTGTGTGTGTGTGTGTGTGTGTGTGTGTGTGTGTGCGTGTGTGTGTGTGTGTGTGTGTGTGTGTGTGTGTGTGTGTGTGTGTGTGCATGATTGTTCAGTTTATAATACACGGGGATGTTTTATAAGGGTTATATCATAATGTTAAAAAAAGTCTCTTAAGTTTATGTATTTCCAGTAGTACAGTCTACGCGACATTCTAAATTTCTAGGAATATATTAAATGTAACTGATTCATCCTTTTTTAAATGACCTTTAAACTTCTCCCACTCACGGTAGGTTTTCTGATCCATTTTATGTAAATGTAACTATATAAATTAGAAGCGTGTCCTAATTCAGAACTGGTTCGCCTAACGATTCTAATGCCCTCAGGTTTTTACTTAATAAATCGATTAAGCACTTTAAAGTTACAGACGACTCCTTTGTAATCGTTTCAAGGTTAAATAAAGCTGACACATGATTTTGAACTAACAATCGTTTGTTGTTAAACCTCTCACATAAGTCATTCCATGCCACTGTATAGATACTTGCAGAAAACTCAAATGATTGAATTACCACAGCAGCAGACCCTTCGAGAGATGCGCGTAAATAATGAAATTTATTAATTTCATCGATTTCATCATTAGAGTGAATAAGGATAATGAAGGTATCATGGAACTCCAGTCTATGATCCACTAAATTTTGGCAACTGTATAGTAGGTAACTTAACAAACTTATGATTACTGACTCGAGAACTCTTGTCACTACCTGCCGATTCAGAGTTAGCATTATGGTGATCGCTCAGTAAAATTTGAGCCTTAGCTAGCGCCTTGTAATACTGAGTTTCAAAGCATGAACGCTCAGTTAGTTGTAAGTCGGGCTTGTCGACAATACATTCTAAGCGTAACTGCACCTCATCATATTGGTTATACAATGTGTCCAGCTTATCCATACGCAATTGCAATTCCGTCGCGTCATGATTTTGTAAAGGTGTAGTAAGCGAATCCAAGTAACCAATGAAAGCAGTTAAGCGGCCTTTAAAACTACGTTTTTTGATCAACTCCTTTTCTTCCGTCATTCTGGAAGACGAGAGTATTCTATCTAGAATGTATACAATTACAAATATTCAAAAACAATCTCCGACTATCTAATGCACTAACTACCTACTAAGCTCTGAAAAACTACTTAACTATATTATTCAGTATGTAGGTACTAACTCGGCAAAAAATAATTTAATAATATTATAGTGACAGGTAACTTTACACAATATTTCTCGACATTCAAAAAAATAGTAGATAATTTTATGATTTAAGCTACTTACAATACCTAATTCAATTATTATATACCCATGAAATCAAAGAAAAAATCAACAATCGTCCTATGCTACAATTACGCTATTATTTATAAAATACTCTAAACAACAAAATAAATAATAATTAAAACCTAAAAAAATTTACTTGGTGTAGGTAATAATAATTAATGCTACTATACGATTTCTACTGCACAACTATACTAAATAATGTAAAAAAGCAAAAAAATAATGTAGATTAATTTCTAACAGTATCCTTACAATACAACTTCTTACTTAATTACTGCAAATTATCAAAAAAATTGCGAATGTTAACCACAACGCTGTAGGTAACTAATAATCGATAGGAACAATAAATTCACAAAACTTATAAGTCCGGTGATTTACACCAAATACTATTAGATTACCTTAATAGAGTGTTGGGTGATGATAAATCTTAAATTTTATCTTAATCACCACGTAATTACTGCAAATTGACCCACATTCTTGATGGCGGCGACGTAACTCCAAATTTGATTCCAACGTAAACTCCACTAAATTTACCATATACGAGTATAATATAAATTCTGGTGCTTATTATTTTATATCCGGCGACGATCCAGGACCATGTTCGGGAGTTTACGGGAATTTTAAAATAATGCAACTTGAATGTGATATTGGACGATTGTATTGATCTTACAACAGCTGAGAGGGTAATAATATATTGCAAAGACAAAGACCCTGTTTAAAATTAACGTTAAGTACGGACGTAATTACTACAAGCACGTTGTTTAACTCTTTGCTCAGAAAGAATGCGCAGGCGCTCCAACAATAATAGCAATGTAGATCTAGCTGTGAGACCCCATACATTGGCCACCAGCATGCTTACGGTGGAGGCAAATCTGCGGAAACAGCCCTGATCGGTGTTATGAATAGGGTCGAAAAAGCGCTGGAGTATAAAGAAATAGCTCTTTGTGCCTCTGTCCCTCTTCTAGATATAGAGCGCGCCTTCTATAGTCGCCCCACATCACTACTGATTAAGGGCCTAACATCAAAAATGTTGACATCATAACCATCAGATGGGTGAAGTTGATACTCTCAAACAGAAAGGCAAAAATAGAGCTGTTTCAAACTTTGATTAGGGTTGCAAAAATCCAACAGAATCACCTCAATCATCACTTCAATAATCTTTTATTAAAAGGTGCATGTATGCCTTAAGCGCAAATGTATGTCCTACTAGTGCCTAAAAATCAAAAATCCTACGCTTTGTCACATGAAATCGTATCTCACAATCATATTGAACATATAAAATAAATGATATAAAAACCACATTGTA